AGTCTGCTTGCTTGATTACACTCACATTCAAAGTAATTTTGTTCATTTTATGAAAACTGAATTCTAATTTTCTTGTATTGTTCAGTTAAAACAGTCTTCTTTGTAAACTGCTTCTTATTAATCCCTAGTATGACAATGCATCTCTTTTAATAAACACTATAAAATATGTTATTTTTTCCTGTATGTGCTTTAGTATCACCAGTTTTAATAGCAATTTCATTTAATTCGCTTTTAAAAAACTATCACTGTCCAAGGTTATAAGGGTGTACTTTGTTTCAGTGGGAAAATGAAATCTTTAATACCATGAAACTTTTATAAAGTAAGATTATCATAAAAGCCTCTTGGCAGCCAATATTGTCAAAATATCTCTGGAATATTAATGCAGCCTTGAATCCTAGTTCTCTTTATTTTAATGAAAACATTTTCTTCTTTAATGAATCATTCAAATTGAAACAAAAGCCCAAAACAAAAAAATATACAATTCGGGAAAATGTAGACTTCCATATGCTCAGGTTTATTTTTACTAAGCATTGGTTAATTAAAAACTCAACATTTAAAGATTCCCTTAAAAATAACATTTCAGTAATATATTACTTTATGAAATCTCATATTTGCAAAATGTTAAGCTATACACAGGGGTATACAGAATGTTTTATCTTCACAAAAATCAACTGGTTGTATAAAATTTTAGATTAGGCACAACTAATACTACAAAAATCATTGAAACTTGATTTTCCTTATTTCTTTTGCCACTGCGTTATCTTTACTTTCATGCCAACCTTGCTGTTTCATCTACTACCTCGGCTTAATCTCACAGGTCCTTAAATGTACATGTTCTGATGTTCATGTCTTTTTTTCTTCTCTTTAAGACTTTCCTCCATCTCTCAGAAGTTTTGCTAATTACTGACGGATATTTGCTCCAGAGCTTTCTCCTGAGAATTAACTCCTAATTTCAGAAGCTCAAATTCAACTTATCCACAGCCAAATTCATACTCATTTGAAATGCAGAGACGAAGATGTCAGACATGGTGTGGCCCAAATACTGTCAGTAGTACAGTTAGTGCAGGCAGCTGTGCAAGTTAATGACAATCATGTGAATATCATACTGAGTAAGAAAAACACTGAGCCTGACTGTAATACTATTGGAATAAGCAGGCACAGACAATTGTGAGGTATTCTGATTATTCAGGTATATAGTTGGTAAGGCCTGTAATAAAGAGACAATGTCACTGTTGTAATGATGATTAAAAGAAGAAAAAGGGAGAAAAATTAAAAATCTTGGAGAATTATCTTCAGATGGTGTTATGGACTGAATTATATCTGCATGCCCACCCCTCCCCAAGTTCCTACGTCGAAGTCCTAAATCCCAGTACCTCAGAATGTGAAATATTTGGAGCAAGGGCCCTTAAAGACATGATTAAATTACAATAAGGTTATTAGAATGAGCCCTGATTAAATCTTACTGGTGTCCTTATAAGAAGAGAAAATTTGGACACACAGAGAACACCAGGGATGTGTTTACACAGAAGAAAATTCACATGAAGAAACAGAAAGGCAGCCATCCACAAACCAAGGAGACAGGCCTAGAAAGAAACCAAACTTGCTGGCCCCTTGTAATGCACTGCTGTCCTTCAGAACTGGAGAAATGCATTCCTGCTGTTTAAGCCGCCCAGTCCGTGGCACTTTGTGATGGTAGACTGAAAGACTAATGCAGATGACCAACTCAAAGGAGATGAATATAATGCGTTTGTGAGCCCATTAAAGGGGACCTAGTAGTTTGATTTATGGAAATGGGATTATTAGGGTTTGGAACAGAACATTTTTAATAATGTTTATTGGTTATATCGGAGGTGTTAATTATATCCTTCAAGTAGTAATAAAATACTACATATTCTACATATAAAAGATAAAAGATAGATACCACAATGTATCATTTTCATCCAAAATTACTTTCCCTTGACATTTTTTCTTATTCTCTCCTTTCCAGTATTTCTCATATATTCCCTCTCTCTCCCCTCTCTACCACCATACCCTTACCTCATTCTCTTCTAAGCCAGATTTCTCAATACAGTAGTTCATAAAGTTAACTTGCATTCCCACTTACTCCCCATCACCTTGAAATTGACACATGACTGCACGTCTACCCCTACAGAACCCACATGTCTTTAGGGCTCTCACAAGAAGTTAGTGACCAAAGAAGAGACCAATTTTGAGGATGGAGGAGGGACATACAATTCAGCTATTATTTCTGTCCTACCTTCATCATTCCATTGAGTTTCATCTAGCAGACCTAACCAGTGCCACCTAATTGTCAACACCAGTGGGCCCAATTTAATCCATTTCTCATTGGATTCCCATGTCTACTTAAAATGAATTATTAGTTCATCCTTTGCCATCCTCTTTAATTGCTCAGTTTATATAATATCTAATCTTCTCTTGGTTCTGCTCCTAACCCTCTGACTTTTTTGAACATTCCCTTTTCTGCACCTTTCTTTCTTACACCCGTGTTTTATATACATTCATCTCATTTTAGCATCTGGTCCTTAGAGTTGTGTTCTTCTTAATCTGCATCTTCTCTTGGATTGTTTCATGTATTCTTGAGGTTTTAGGCTATCTTATATGCTGCCTGTCTCTCTTCCATTCCCCATTTACATCTATATCCAGGTATAACTTCTTCCCTAAACAGCAGGCTGAAAATCCAAATAATTGCTGGACAGCTCCTTGAATGTGCCATTAGCCTTTGGAGCACACGGCTGTATTCTGTATTTCAAATAATAACTCTACCATCTGCAAAGTCTCATCTGTATACATTGGAGTTAGCCTATGTGCAATCAATGAGTCACTAAATTCTGAAAAAAAATCACGCATCTAATATTTCTTAAATGTGTTATTTATTGTCTTCTCCAGCTCAATTGCTACTGTACTAGGTAAGGCCTTCAAGATCTATTGCTCAGACTAATAAGCCAACCTCTTAACTGGTCTCTCTAACCCTGTACTTGGCCCCTTACAGCCACCTTCTATACTGCTGGAAGAATGATCTATTAAAAATATAAATCTGCCTAGAATTTTCCTGATGAAAATGTTCAGTCACTTCTCTTAATCAAGGGGATATCATTCATATAATACCTAGGCTTCCCATTATGGTTTACAAGGCCATCCTTAATAAGGCGCTTAAACATTATGTCAGCCTTAATTCCTTATCTTGCACTTTATGTTCCAGTGTTACAAAATTGCTGGAAGTTCTCCTGATCTTATCAAGCTGTTTCATTTCTCTATGACAGTGCACGCTCCTTCCTCTGCCAATAAGTCCCTTTCCTTCTCTTACTATTTCTCCCTGTCATTCTGGTTTCCTTCTTCAAGATTTCTTCAAAGATCCATGCTTGATGGACCAGGAGATAAGATTTTATAGCCTAGCATAAAATCCCAGCAACACAGCACACTGGAGTAACAGGCTACACATTCTTAGATACGGGGATATGTCAGCTCCAGTTCCTAATACTTGGCACATAGCAATTGCACATGCTGCCCTAAACTCATTTAGAATTAGCTATCAGAAATTACTACATATTCATTCTATTATTGTGCTATATACTCAAGAACTTTATGCCAGATAACTATTTTTTATATTCATTACTCACCATATTTATGGGATCAACTGGTCCAATGCTGTTTACATAAACATCAGTTTCAATTACTGTTGGCCTCACTGCAAAATATACACACACAAAAAAAAAATGATCAAAGATATGAATGTAGGTGGTGTTAAATAAATCTTAGTTTTAAAATAAATCTAAATGGGTAATAATATTTACTGTTTAAATAATAAAACACTCCTTGTTAGGAAATAAAGAAACAGCCCATTACAAAAAATGCAAACAGCTTCTCAGTTTACAAAATTTTTATATAAGTAAAAATTAACATTTTTGAGGGAGTGTATTCCAGTGTACAACCTAAAAAGCGTTAAAATATCTAAATCATCCATTAAAACTAAGGAAGTTAATTCAATAAAAATCACTAGATAATTTGCTCAACAATTGTTACTGAGTTTTAGAATGTGAATGAATTTTTAGAGCCTGTTATTTGTTCGTACCTCATTCATCCCTTGTTAACAATATTCCTGTAGGCTATTTATAGTTGGCTCCAATGTAAGCTGGATTTGTATCTAATTTTCATAGAGTATACGGTATGGATGTCACTATAAACTTCATCTATTGTATTTTGCACATAACCATGTGTGTTTTCCCAGTTAGTCTTTAAATGGTATATACAATATTTTTATGTTCTACAAAAATATATAGCACAGGTCAACCTTTTAAATATGTATAACATGATATGATTAACCAATATCGACAATCATGCCATATTTGATTATAATTAACGGCGTTCAACCTTTGACAGGTATTTTTAGTTCCTATAATGAGATTTACCATAACAATAATGATAATTTCTCTCATAAGACTCTTTGTTTGCTATGAAAAACATTCGCAGTTTCTCTTATTCCCTTACCCCACCAAATACGATATAAAGCTTTCATTTATTCATTTAGCGAATACTTTTTGAGGAATGTGTGTAAAAGGTTCACAAAGTGGACAGGAAAGAGAAAGCCATTCTAAGAAAAAAGTCTATCATATATCTCGCAGAGATTTACAAAGAGATAATGCCAGTGAAATAAAGCAGAAAAACCAACTTGTAGGGTAAAAGATTCTAAAGTAGCATGTTTTTAGTAATATTTACTCATTTCTCCTTTCTAAACTATCTGATTTCCCTTTCTGGCCTGGTATTTATTACTCTTACAATTCAGATGCTATATGTTCCACCTGTCAGGATAAACCTCCTCCTCTTATACATGGCTGAGTCTGCTCGTCTGAGTCTCTAATCAGCCCCAAGTCTCCCTGTCTTGGTACCTTCCAGCCTGGCAGTGGCCCCCACACTAGCAAGCTACAATGGAAAACTTGAGGCATTTTGAAAAACAGTGACTGTATAATTTCACAACGATATTTAATTTAACCTTTTACAACTAAAAAATAACTACACTTAGAGAAACATAAAAACATTTACTTATACATAGTAGTTTCTTTTTCTTTAAGCAAAGATTTCATTGCATGGTATGCATATTTTCTTAGAAAAATAAATAAGATTTGTTACAAATGGTTTTAGTATGCAAAACTATAGGTTTTTAGACCTACACAATACATAAAAATGTAATTTGATCTGCTAGCCAATAATTAAATCTTAAATAAAAGTAGGTTATATGATTTATAGAAGGTTTTATAATTTTTTTTAAAGATTTTTTTTATTGGGGAATTGGGGAAGGGGAACAGACAAGTTGCTGTCTTTTTGTTCTTCAGTCTAGTTGTGGAGGTTGTTGCTTCACTGGCCCAAGTTGGCACCATCATTGTGTTCTTCCCGAGCGAGGCAGATCAGTCACTGGCTTCAGGATGGCCGCTCACGCTGGCTGCTGGCTACATACGATAGTCCGTGGCAACCCACTGCAGCAGGGGCTGCAGCCTATGCCATAGCCAGCGACTCAAGGCAACCCAGATCCAGGTCACTGGCCCTCATATGTGGGATCCGAACCGGGGCCCTCTGGCGTCCCAAGCCAGCTCTTAACCAATGCGCCATTTGGCAGGCCCAAAGGTTTTATAATTTAACTTAGGCTGATGACTTCTGAGATGAATTAATTTAACTGTTTGTCATTTGTTTATTTATATTTTTTATTAATTTAAGGTGTACAAAGCAACATAATAGACATTTACACCCCTCACAAAGTGATAACCACCCCCAATCTACTACCTCTGTGACATTGTATATAGCTGTTATAATTCCATTGACTATATTCCCTATGCTGTTTGTTTTTCACTAGCTATGAATCGTAGCCAAGAAATATAATTAAGCTAATTATACCTAGATTTACAGAATGATTTTTATGAAAGCCAGTTAATAACAAGACAATAGGTTTATTAGTTTCATTTGTAAGTATATTTATCACCACTTACAGGCAATTAAGTACAATGTAGCAGTCTCATTTAATTAGTTGTTTTTTTTTTTCAGTTCATTGATAAATCAACAAACACTGAGTGTCTGCTCCTTATTTCATGACACTAAGGACTGAACACTGTCTATGCCAAGAAGTGAATGATTCCTGAGGAGTTTTTTATATACAGGACACGCTTTTCACAGAATAGAAATCTTTAGTTATGAGTGACCTATCCTGGTTTTCTGATATCAATATTTCCTTAGGAAATTATAAGACAAATATGTGCATGTTAGAAAAATATTAACTCTGGCTTTAGGGCATGAGCAAGGCTGAAGTAGTTCATGATCAACATAAATCAATTTCATGTGTGATGGGACAAAAGCAGGATCCCATCAGTCATATGACTCACAGTACTGAGGGAGGAAAGAATACCAGATGAGGTCATTTCTTGGTTAATTGTTTTTAAACACTTTTTGGCATTTCAAAACATAGAAGGGAAAATATGGATATAATGGCAAAAAAGGACTACAGTTTATATAGTAAATGGCTTGTGATGTCCTTGAATTGTAGTAACATTACTAGTATATGATTAAACTTAATTAAGTAAAATGCATATTTTGATCACTAAAAATGATGATTATTTAATAAGATTATGTAAAGATAAAACTATGACTTCTTGAATCCAAAAGAGGGAAAGAATAGAAAAAAAATAAAATAAAATGGTGTATAGAACAGATTAGAAAAACAGAAAACAAACATAAAAGCAGTAGATTTAAAACAACATACACAATAATTATTCTAAATATATCTGGACTAACAACTCCATTTAAAAGAAAAAGACTGTAAAACTTAATACTAAGAGAAATCAAATGCAAATATAAAACTGCTATCCAACAGAAAGTTTATAACAATCCTAAATGTGTATGTACCCATAACAATGTCAATATGTATAAAGCAAAAACTGACTGGACTTTAAAAAAAATAGATAAATCAATGGTCTCAGTTAGATATTTTTAACACACAGTAAATATATAGATTATTTGAGCAGTAAGAAGACTTCAGTACGTTCTCTGAGCAAAATAGAATTAAGCTAGTTATCAATAACAAAACTGTATCTAGAACAAAGCCTATTTTTTAAATTAAGCACTATTCGCTTGTCTAATACACATGTTCAAGAAGTTATTACAGGGCCGGCCAAGTGGCGCGATGGTTAAGAACTGGCTTGGGATGCCAGAGGGCCCCAGTTCGGATCTCACATGTGAGGGCCCGTGACACTGCCCTCCACAGCTAAGATGCTGAACAAGAGCTCACCCTGGAACTGGGCTGCCATGAGTCGCTGGCGAC